TCTTCTGAATCTGCCATTCTCAGGGTTGCCCCCCAGCCATGGAAAACAACTTTCAGGCTCCGTTCCTTCAGTGTCATTTCCTTTCCTCTCCCCTGTTTTCAAAGCCTCTCGGTCATGCAGCTGTAGTTTGCCTGGCTTACCTCTAGATCTGGCTCCCCGTTTATAACGCATGTGTAAGCCCTGCAAATAAAGAAGGTGAATTCTGTGAGTAACTGTTCTCTTAAGAAAACTGAGAGAACAAGTGCCTTCAAGAAGCCACGCCACTTCTCGACGTCTTGAAAACCAGGAAACAGTGAAAACTGCGTTAAATATTTCAGCATGAGTACTGAAAAACACCAGATAATTTAATTAGCACGGATTATCAGGTTACTGCTTGTCACTTGAGTGATGTGAACCTGGTGGTGTGTTGTACTTGCATCATTTGTGAAGTATTTATGTGCTGATGGAGCACTCCAACTGCTAACTAAAGCTTGTCAGCTTTCTGTTATTTGCAGGAGATCCATGAAAATAATTTGCAAATGTGTAAATGTGAACAAGCAGTTGTTTTTGCTCAGCAGCTTTTGCTTGCAGTTCCCCTGTGAGTACTTTGATTAACTTTCATTTTTCAGAGCATGTGTTAATAACATTAGTCATAACAAGAGCTCAGCATGGACTGGACGTGTATGCAATGATGTGTGATCCTTCAGTGCAAGACTTTCACTTGCTACCCATCATATTTAAATACTGAAAGTGGGGGTGGGAGGAAGGAGCAGAAAGGTACAGATGCATATCCTGCAGCCAATTATTTTTCTTCCCCTGATTTCTAGCAATAGACCTAGATCCCACCTTTGTCTGCTACATATGGCTGGAGTCAGTGGTAAGAAGAGCTGCTGAAAACTAAGTTAAGTGTCTGAGGATGGCAAGAACATTGATGTTGTTCTTGATGTATTACCCTCTTACCTGGCACTGAGCAGTCTTGATTGCTCCCACCAGCAGGAGGAGACTTAGGAGCTTGCCTTTCATTCTGAGTGTTTTCCACATCACCTACAGGTCTCAAGTAATCTATGGAGGTAAAAGAAAAAATAAACTGTTGAAAAGGATGTTTTACAGCGTGAATGACTTTCAAAGCTTCAAGTTTAAATAACGAGAATGCTTTTTACATTAAAATCCACTTTCTACTCCACAGTTCTCTGCAGTTCAGTCTAGTTGTGAATCTGGATCTTTGCTCCACTCATCTCATTTGCTTTGAAAATCTACTTTTTCCCTCATTAGAAATTAACTTCTTGCCTGGAAAAGTTCCTGCATAGACCTGGTTACAAATAATTATAGGAAGGACATTTGAATACTGTGATCCTGCTGTATTTCATGTTACTGTTGCTTAGTACATACATGTATGGGCTTTGAGAGGGAAGTTTCTTGGCAGAAGCATGAATTTGGGATTCTGTTGCCTCTGACTGCAGGGAGGTAGATATGTTACAGTCTTGTACTCAGTTCCCTTTACCCAGTTTGTTTCCTAACAAAGGAGGCAGATGGTTTCTTTCACTGAGGCTAAGAACTATTGTCTGAGTGCTGTCTGGTTTTGAGTACTCATTGGACAGAGAACACATTGTGAGCATCGGGGGACATCTTCACAACAGTGTCAGTCCTGGGTACGTGGAAATGTTATTGATGAAACTAAGCAATATATATTCTTTCCTTTGCTGGACAAAATGGCATTTCTTATCTCATTCTCATATCATAAGAATGCAGATGGTCTAACATGTATAAGTGGCCTATAGTCTTTTGCTCTATTGCATCCTTTTTTCCTTTTTTTTTTTTTTTTTTTTTTCCATATTCCAGCTGGTTTATATTATGGTGCTACACCCCTTCTTTTCTTCTTCTCTTCTACTGTGCCTTTCCAGCCAGGGATGGTTTGTGTCCTACTATACATGGAAAACTGTTAACACATTTTGGCAGATACTTTTCAGTCTTGAGAAAGGTACAGTGTATGTTAGTATATTGGAATGTTCTGAGTGATAAGCCCTATCAAACTGAAACCACATAGCTGTTTGAAAAATACTATGTTTACAAAACTCCAAGTGGAAACCTGCCAGCAGTGTGCTTTCTGGTAAAGTTCTCTTAAGCAGTCACAGACCTTGAGCTGACCTAAAGAATGCTGCAGATGCACTGGTTTTACTGAAGCATCATTGTCAGTAATGCTTTAAATTACACGTTTCTACTATAATTTGTTAATAAGAGCTCTTCTGAGTAATGCTCTCTTCGTACTATCTTACAGATATGACATAACACCTTGAATTTTTTTTTTTAATTACAGCTTAAAAGATCAAACAAAAAGTCATTGGTAGTGATTGAAAGTAGCTCCCTCTTCTGTTTACCCTTCAGTAACCTAGAGAACCAGAACTCCCTGCTGTTTCAGCCTGAGGCTGTTTGCCCTTTTACTGGAACAGCTTGCTGAGGCTTGAAGCAGCTGGAAGCTAGAAGTCTTATACAGTATTGTATATCTTCAGAAACTGAAAGGCAATAGCTCAGTTGGTTAACTGCCATGGTATTTTAGTAGAATTTATTAAAAGCATTTGATGATAATGCCAATCGTGTAAAAAACAGGCAATGCAATTTTTGAAATGGGTACAGAGTAGTACGTACCTTTTTTGCTTTTCCTCTCCTGTTTTCTGCTGCTGATTGGCTTCCCAGACCAGTCTGTTTTTATGTTTTCCACATCTCTGTTACAATCTCTGAAAAGCTCCGTCCTACTTAAAAACTGCACTGAAAGGGGTGGAGCCTAAAGAGGGCAGTAGGGTGTGCTTCCCACTCCTCCAAGATCAGCAGCCAAGATCTTGGGATGGTCTGGGACAGAGTGGCACGTGTCCAAACTGTGAGGTTTCTGCATGGGACAGGAGGAGAGCTGACTTGTGGATTTTACATACTGGATTTTGCAGCCAGTTTGCTTTGTTCATTCTTTATTCTAATCAGAGAGCAGATGCAGCCTTCAAAACAAACTTTTCTGCATTAGACACCTTAAACTTCAGCGAGACTGAAAATAGTATGTATCCCCTACAAAGAGCTGTCTTGTCTCATTGTGCTTCTAGGAATGTGAGAGAGGAACAGAGTAGGTAGCACCTCAAGTGAATGCACAGGTGTATCATTTCTAACATGACCAGGGGCTGCAGGCTTAGCAGTAATGCTGAGAAACTCCTGCTTTGAGCTGGAGCAGTGTGCTGTACTGGAACGACATCACTCAGAATCTTGGGCACAGAGACCTTGTGTCACAACATGCCTCAGTGTGCTGGAAGAAGAAATCAGAACTCCTGATTGATAACAATGAAGAAATGTTAGGACCTCTAGGTAGGAATAAGGAAGAGCATGTTAAGGATCAGAGTTAAATGTTCACGGGTAATGTCCATCCCAGAAAATGAAACTTCTCAGCCAGAGTCAAAAAAACAACAGTCACAAAGTACTACATTATAAAAGTGCAGCAGACAAATCCAAATGAGGAATTTTAGAACTGAATTTAGAACTGGGTTATGAAAACTATTGATGATACAGTCGTTACAGTAATAGATGTGTGCAGACTTGTAGGAATTGATTCACTAGAAATTGGTTTCTGATAAAATTTAGTGCGAGCACTGACAGAAATAGCATATGAGGGACCCCCATTTTCAGGAAGTGCACAGAATCCTCTGTCAGCAAACACGGTAAGGGTCATTTTGCACAATGGCAAAGAGGAAACTTTCTCTTGAATGTTTAGGTCTTCTCTATGTGGAAATCTGTGTCAAGATTGTCATATGTATCTCTGAGTAAAACTGCAGATGCTAACATAAATGCCATAAATCTGCTTTAGGAACAGTTGGAATTGACTGCTTCCAGGGAAGTCTGTATTGAGAAAGGATGGTTGGGCACTGCTGAACAAATGGGTTAACTTCTATTTCTTTTAAAGAC